ATGAGATGAGATGATGATGATGATGATGATGAGATGATGATGATGATGATGATGATGATGATGATGATGATGATGATGATGATGATGATGATGATGATGCTGATGATGATGATGATGATGATGATGGTGATGGTGATGGTGATGGTGATGGTGATGGTGATGGTGATGGTGATGGTGATGACGACGACGACGACGACGAGGGCGACGACGGCGCACCCTTCACACGGTTCCTGCCCCCACAGGGGTTGCAACCGAAGGCTTCGAGCTCTGCGCACCCTTCACACGGTCCGTGGCCTCACAGGGGGCAGCTGCAGCACGCAAGCGCAGACCCCAGACATCATGACCCCCGACGATGTCTTTGCTTCAACCTGCGGCCCCGAGAGGCCTCGGGGCCTGATAAGGTGGGGGCGTTCTTTGAGGAGTGTGCCCGGGAGGCTTTATGTAGACCCTGGAGGGTTCCTGATCTGATGAGGGCGGCGATGATATCCATGGCCGATCCACGATTCGAGTTCCACCAGCTTCCAGAGCCTGGATTCCTTATCTAGGGGTTCCTTGTCCAATGCCCCCACCGTGACGGGTCCCAGGGGCCGAAGCCGAGGAAAAGCACGGCGGGATCGAAAACCACATACTTTCGGAGATCTGGCGCTCCTCGCCGTCCTCTTTCCTCCCCTCGCTCTGCTCCTGCTCCGCCTCCTGCCTACTCGACTTCCTCCCGCCCCTCTTCTTGCTCATCCACCACCGCCTCAATCTCCTCCTCCTCCCCCTTCTCCTCCTCCTCCTCCTCCTCCTTCTCCTCCCCCTCCTCCTCCTCCTCTCCTCCTCCTCCTCCTCCTCCTGCTCCTCCTGCTGCTCCTCCTCCTCTTCTTCTTCTTCTTCTTCCTCCTCCTCCTCCTCCTCCAATGTACACAGATCCCATTTCGGATTGCGCATAGCATGATGAGGCTTCTCGGGGGCGTCCAGGTTCGCTACGCCACCCGTCGGCGGATAAAACGAAAATCAGAACAGTACGCGAGCGCACCTAGCCTTGCGCCGATCTGATTTTTCAATCCGCGGTCCCAGGGGCCACGACCGCCTCCCTGGGGGACCCCCGAGGGCCGAGATCGAGGGAAACACGCTGGTTGACAAACATCATAATGTCTGAGGTTTGGGTCCCCTCCCATCTCCTCTCCTACCCTCCTCGGCTGGACGCCAAGAAGAGCAGCGCGGCAGGTCGTCCTCGATTTCTCCCACAGCAACGTCCTCGACCACGTGGGCACGCAGGCCATCGCGAAGATCACCCAGTGGCTCCAGGGGGCCGGCAAGCGCGTGGAGCTCATTGGCCCAGAGCTTTGTTGCAGAGCTGGGGGGGAGAACCAGGAAGTTGGAGCCGCTCGGGGGGCTGAGGTTGCCCAGCACTGTTTCTGGCCAGCAGATGGGCAGAAAGGGACCCTCTCGTCGCCACGGCCGGGCGCGGCTCGAAAACTTGTCAGCTTCGATCCCAGGGGGAACCGATTTCGAGCGGATTTGCCTTTGTCCCTCTCTCTTGACAGATTGTCTCGGGCCCCTTCCAGCGCAGACCCCCCAGCCGCTCCTAGCGGGAAGGGCTCGCTCGACGTTCAGTATCTTCTAACCCGTCCTGCTCCGCACCTGGGCCATGGAGTCTCAGCCCCTCTCGCCCACCCACACCCAGGCGGGGCTAGACCAATCGGCTGCACGGTGTGCCGACTCTGCAGTCCGCCTGGCAGAAGCAGAGGAGGGCCGGGCGGGGGGCACTGGCAGAGCCTGGGACCGAGGATACTCCCCCCCCTCCACCTCCTCCTCCTCCTCTTCCTCCTCCTCCTCCTCCTCTTCCTCCTCCTCCTCCTCTTCCTCCTCCTCCTCCTCCTCCTCCTCCTCCTGCCTCCTCCGGCCAGACGGAAGGGGAGGAGGAGGAGGAGGAGGAGGAGGAGGAGGAGGAGGAGGAGGAGGAGGAGGAGGAGAAGGAGGAGGAGGAGGAGGGGCTCCAGTTCCTCCTCCTCCTCCTCCTGCCAGAGGGCTCGTTGGGCAGCACCAGCCTTCACCCCTCTCGTGTTGCCGATCTGCTTCACGGTCTCGTTCTGCTTGGCCCGTGGTGTGGACGGCACGCGCGCGAGATAGCACCGTGCTGAGGATGTGTTGAGCAAGAATCAGGAGGGAACAAAAACACACAGGCACAATTAATCGTCGATTCCCAGGAACATGTGCGAACCTATGGGAAATGTGGGGGAAGACAGAAGCCCAGAAAATATGTGAAAACAGGGGTAAGCCTGGGATTTGTGTGTATTTGTGTGTTTATGGGCCCCTTCAAAGAATCCCAAAAAGAATGCCTGTCGGACTTCTGCCGTGCGAGCGATGCGATACACCGAGAGCGCCCCCTTATGGGCGCGAAGGGGAGCGCGCTCTGCGCACCGCGGCTCGGGTTGGAGTTGCGCCTCTCTCGAGGGCGGCGGCGCGAGAGAGCGCAAAGGTGGTTGCGCGTCACGCGTCGCGGGGCGCGATGCTCGAAATCGGGTTGCCCAGGGCACGCTCTGGGTGATGTCGCGCGCCACGCCGAGCGGGTCGCACGCTTCGCCGTGGCCTCGGCCCCCATGGAGAAACAGCACGCGCACACGGTGGCACGGGTCGCTCGTCGAAGGGGCGGAGCAGGGCGTGCACTGCCGCACCCTGCGCCCCCCCCCCCCCCCCCTCCCTGTGTGGCGAGCAGGCTTGTCAGCCTCGCATGTCCTCGACACGACGTGGCATCACACGCACACGCACGCACACACTTGGTATCATGTGTGCGTCGGCCCCGCGTGGGCGGCGCGCACGCCCAGAAGTCCTCTGGCATGCCCCTCGGCAAACGATGCTGGTCAGTCCTCAGTCCTCGGCATGCCCCTCGGCAAACGATGCAAGTCTCCTGGCATGCCCCTCGGCATGCCCCTCTGGCATGCCCCTCGGCCACTCCGTGGCGGGCGCTTTCTGGTCGTGCCCCTCGGCAAGCGGTGCTGCACATCAGACCTGTGTGCTGCGTGTTCGGGTCGGGCAGGCGCCTCCGACATCAGAACGTAGTACTCGTGTGTCCTCCTGCGTCCCGTCATCTGCTGGAGCAGCTGGTCGCCGTTGCTGTCCCCCGAGCAGCCAACGTGGACTTCTGCGCGTCCAGCGCGGGTGGCCCGATAGGAGCAGAGCACCCGACGCAGACCCCCATTGGGGACGAAGAGGGTCAGGGGCTCGCATCGTGCGCCGCATCATCTCTGTCTTGCAGCGATCCCGTTCGAACAAGGTGCTTCATAACCACCTTGACAGGCAAGGAGCACCCAGACTCGCAGCATGGCACACTTTGAGCACAACGCGAATGACCCACCGATCTCCCGTTGATGTCTGGGGGTACGCACCTCTGGAGAGTCCGTTCAAGATGAAGATGACCCATGTGCGCGGACACTCCGTGCCGAACCATTTTATTTCACCGCAGGAGCGGTTTCTCTTGACCTGGCGCGGTACAAGATGGTCGTCTGGAGAGCAGTTGTCAAGCGACACATTTTTAACGCATGAACCTTCCGCGACTGCATTCTTCGGGCGGGGCTCGGACAGGGATAGCCGTTCCAGAGCATTCCATAACGCTCTTAGTGCGTTCCGGAACGCTCCGAGAAGGCCGCGGCGCCCGATAGATCTTCCAGAACCGCCGGATCTCAGATATCCCCGATGTGGTTTGTTTTTGTCCTCGTCCTGGCTTCGCCCGACTCCTTGTCTCAGTTCAGCTCAGGAGCGGTCTCATCTTCTCCGCTTAGCCTCGCCCCCTCGGCACTGAGGCCTCAACGTGGATGCCAAGGAGATTATTGGGTGCGCCATGGCTCTTCCTGGGGACTGAGTGTGCCGGCGGCGTGTGACTCGAGACCCTGCTGCTGCAGGTCCAAATCGTATCGCGAGCGTTGGTCGGAGCAGGAGAAGGAAGGGCACGCGCAGCACCACGAGGGAGCCGCGCGAGCTTCCGCCCCACGTCCATCTCTGGCCTTGCTTCCTTCCCGCCTCCGACCCCAGACGTGCGTCGCCCTGTTTTTTTTCGATGCGGGGGTCCTGGCTGTCCTGACCCGTTCCCCGGGACCGGTTCCTCGTCCCGCGTCGTCTTTTGACGGTCCCGAGGCCCGGCGAGGGACCCCCGGGGCCGAACACTTGCGCAGGCCTCCCGCCCCGATATCTTTCACGACGCGATCGTGCCGGGGACGTCGGCGTCGTGTGCGCTGCCTCTCTCTTCCGCCTCCCGGTGCGCACGTCGACTGCAAGGCACCGCGCGGCACGGCACCACGCCACGCCTCGCCGGACCACGCGGAAGGTGCCAGGTTTCGGCGCCGCGTGCGCTGGAAGAGCCCGGCCTCTGCTAATACAGCACGTAGTTTTTACAGCCCATGTGCTTATCGGGAGGGGGAAACACACAGACACAATGAATCGTCGTTCCCCAGGAAAATGCATTATGGGAAAAGATGGGAAGTGGGGGGGAAGACGAAAACCCCGAAAATATACGAACATATGGGGGAGCCTGGGATTTGTGTGTATTTATTTCTGTGTCCTCGGGCCCCTTCAGTTTCGGGATATTGCCGTATAACCCATACCCTCCCTCATCGCTCCATCCGCATGCAGCCAAACCGGTGCACCAACCCGTGGTCACCACAATCGCCACCCAGTGCCAAGGGGGGAGCCAAGACGTTGGCGATGACTAGGCGACCGTATACTGTTCATTGTCTGGATCTATACCCAGTGCCGATTCTGCGGCTCACATTCGTAGCAGGAGCGGTTGTTTGCTTTGGTGGTGGCAGTGAAAGTTTGCTACGCACAGGTTTTTAGATCAGCAGTGCCCTGCTTGTGCGACCTCTAGATCGCAAGGTCTCGCGGACCTATCACTTTGCATGCTCACAAGTGGTTGTGTGGCTGGTTGTATGAGTTGATAAGGCCATCTGCCAGTTGTTCCTTCTGCTGATCCTCCCATCCCTACCCTAACTTGACCCTCACTTCAACGCCTTCTCCTCCGTAGCACGTGTAGCTTAAGGGAGTCACTAGGGCTCGCTCGGCCTCGGCTAGGTATGGCGCCCGACGCACGGGATAATCTCGGGGATGTCGTGGGGGTGTGGAGTGACCGCAACCAGTCCGTGTACGTGGTGGAGCGCAACCCTGATGGATGGAGCTGCTCGGTGCAGACGACCAGGAAGTCTGGGGAGAAGCGCTTCACGAAGGGCCTCATCCGCGCGTCGCAGGGGCGCGTGAATTGGGGGCAAAACTACATCCGAAGAAGAGACCAGAGCACACACGTAAGCTTCCTGAGGTTCGCCTGGAGTTCTCTGATCGGCGCTGGGTCCCCCTCCCAGGCCCCCCCTCGCCGGCGCGCGGAGCGCGCCAGAGAGCTGCGCGCGGACCTCCGAGAGGCTAGGCTTCTTGGCATCACTTGGACGTGTGCGCTGGTTCTCGGCGAGGGCCACAGAGGAGCATCTTGGATCACCTTGCGAAGATGAAGAATGCACCGAGACATGTACGGGGCATAGACGTCCGAGCCATGGCGAGTCATGCTTGTGCTGTGCTTTCTTCTTCCGGACATGTTGGACGGGGACCGCACGACCTATTCGACGCTGCACTGGGTGCACCTGAACGGGGGCCGGCACTTCGAGTGGCTGCGGAGCGCCGCCGACGCAGCGCCGTTCTGCCGCGCGGCAAGCATCACGCAGGACGCTGGTCGGGTCAAGAGGGCATCCGCGGGGCCGGCATACCGCTGTTTCGGGCCTGAGGCTAGAGTCACCACCCGCCAAACCACCCCAACCCAACCCGAAGGCCTCAATTTGCCGTCCACTTCCAGTGGGGGGGGGGGTCGGGGAGCGTTGAAAAAACACATGGAACCCGCACCCCACAACCCGAGATTCGGGTCAGATTCGGGTCTTCGGGTTGGGTTGGGGTGGTCTGGTAGGTGGTCACCGAGGTCTGCGGGCGCTCTCGTCCGTTCGCGACAGCCGTCCGACTTCGGGGGTGCTCTCCGGCAGCTGCGCCTCGTCGAGGGCGTGCCCGGGGGGGTGCCCGGATCGTCCCGAGCGGCCGCCGGAGAGCAGAGCTGTGGCCCAGGGGCAATTTCAAGTCCGGCCTGTACCTCTACAGGAGGAGTATTCCAAAAGAGTCACAAAGTCGTCTTAAAACAAGAATGCGTGCTTCATTTTTTTGTCTGGCTATTTTGAGCCTTTCGCCAAAAATTCCCCTCTAGGGGGACAGGCCCGACCTAGGGTCAATGTGAAGGGGGGGAGGAGCGGCGAAGGGCGGGATGCATCGACCCCCGATCGTCCATCGATCGCCGACAGGGGCCCGATAGCCTTCAGACGGGCCTGTCCCTCTACAGGAGGAGCATCCAGAAGTAGTCAAACAATGGTTTGGGGACGACTGTTCGACGATTCTGAACCATTCTGGAGCAGCCTCTGACTATTCTTAAGCTTTTCGTCCAAGATCCCCCTGCAGGAGGACATGCCCGACCTGAGCGCAGGGCGGGACGCATCGACCCCCGATCGTCCGTCGATCGCCGCTCAGGGGCCCGATAGCCCACCCCGCCCAGGACCGTGCGGCTTCGCTATCGGGAGCGTGCCGCCGATGGCGAAGGCGACGTGTCGCCGATTCCAGCTCGATGGTTCCCTCCCTGAGCTGGTCTCAAGTCGGGCCGGTCCCTCTACAGGAGGAAAATTCAAAAACGTTCCCTCCCTGAGCTGGTCTCAAGTCGGGCCTGTCCCTCTACAGGAGGAACATTCAAAAACGTTCCCTCCCTGAGCTGGTCTCAAGTCGGGCCTGTCCCTCTACAGGAGGAACATTCAAAAACAGTCAACACATAGTGTTGGGACGATTTTTTGTCAGTAGTATGTCTTGACTCTTTGGAAGTCTTTTTCCAGTATTTTTTTATTTTTCGCCCAAAATCCGCCTGTAGGGGGACATGCCCGACCGAAAGCTGGTCCCCCCCTAACTTTGCCCTTCCTCGTGGGGGGAGGCACAACGAGCGTGCACGGGGGTGGGCAGGGCGCAGCCGATGCGGGGCGGGGATTGCTACAGGTGTCCACCGGCGGGGGAACCGATCTCCCAAGACCCCACGAGGCAGTGGATGCGGATGCGGATGTGGGCGCTGGCCACCTTCGGGTCGATTGAAAGTGCACAGGGGGTACAGCCAACCCGCAGAGTAACGAGGGGCAACCTTCCGAAGGGTACCCTTGCATCCTTGCCTCCTCGGTCCATCCTTGGCCACTTTCGTCGGCTGCGCCCCGCTCGAGATGCTTCGAAATGGGCGTCCAAGGCCCGTGCACCCTTACCTCGAAGAAGGAAGAAACCACATAAACATAGAATGTTGGCGCTCCGCGCGGATTTCTTGGATTCGCGCCTGGGCCCCCCTGGCGGCGCCTCCGGCGCTGCCCCTGCGCGGAGCGCGGATCCAAGAAACCCGCGCAGAGCGCCAAAAGTTTATGTTGATGTGGTTTGTCCTTCTTCTAGACATGGGCGTCCAAGGCCCTTGCATCCTTATGGTGCGTCATTCTGCTACGGGGCGACTGTACCGTGGTCGGCGTTTTGAGGGTACGCGCCGGCTTCGGCCAGGTCTGGGGCCCAGGAGGGGGCCCCCCTAAACTCTCGCGTGTTCCAGGCTCTCGCGCCCCTGCGAGAACAGGTCTTGAGGTCCGTCGCGAGGCATGTTTGTTTGTGTGTGTGTGCTTATGTGTGTGTGCTTGTGTGTGTGTGTGTGTGTGTGTGTCCGTGTGTGTCCGTGTGTGCATATCAGTAAACACTTTGCACATATGGATATAGTCTGCCTGTGCAAATGGGTATAAACATATACGAAAGAGCGCGTTCTGTGGTCGCTTGGAGGGGGAGGGGGAGGTTGAAACCGGAGCCCCCCCCCCCCCTTGGAGGGGGGGAGGGGGTTCGAACCCGCCCCCCGCCTTCCCGCCGTGAAGGAGGGGGGGGGTTCGAACCCCCCCTCCTCCTCCTCTACTTTTTTTCTCTCCCTCTCTTCGGGCTGGCGCCTGCATCGGCGGCGGCTGGCGCCGGCGGCGGGGACGACGATTATATTTTCTGGGCCGGCGCCGGCGCCTGCGGCGGCGGGCGGCGGCGGCGGGGAGCGTCGACGAAGACGGTGGTGGTGGTGGTGGTGGTGGTGGGTTGTGGTGGTGGTGGTGGCGGTGGTGGTGGTTGTGGTGGTGGTGGTGATGTGGTGGTTTGTTGTTGTGTGGTGGTGGTTGTGGCGGTGGTGGTGGTGGTGGTGGTTTGGTGGTGGTGGTGGTGGTGGTATGTTGGTGGTGGGTGGTGGTGGTGGTGGCGGTGGGTTGTGGTGGTGGTGGTGGTTTGGTGGTGGTGTGGTGGTGGTGGTGGTGGTGGTGGGTTGTGGTTGTGGCGGTGGTTTGTGGAGGGTGCTGGTGGTGGTGGTGGCGGTGGTGGTGGTGTGGTGGTTTGTGGTGGTGGTGGTGGGTTGTGCTGCTGGTAGTGGTGGTGGTTGTGGCGGTGGTGGTGGTGGTGGTGTGGTAGATTGTGGTAGTGGTGGTGGTTTTTGTGGTGGTGGGTTTTTGTGGTGGGGGGTGGTGGTGGGGTGAGTTGTGGTGGTGGTGGTTGTGGTGGTTGTGTGGCTGCGGTGGTGGTGGTGGTTGTGTGGTGGTTGGTGGTGGTGGTGGTGGTTGAGGGGGCGGTGGTGGTGGTAGTGGTGGTGGTGGTAGTGGTGGTAATCGTCGCTGCGTCCCCGCCGTCGCCGCGCTGGTGCTGCTGCCGCCACTAGCGCCCGCCGGCGCCGTCGCGGGGGAGGGAGGGGGAGTTTGGACCCCCCCCCCTTGGGCTGCTCTGGTCATCGTCGCTACGTCCCCGCCGTCGGCGCTGCTGGCGGTCGCCAGCGCCGGCGCCGGCGCCGGCATGGGAGGGGGGGGGGTTTTCGGGGGGGTTGGGGGGAGGGGAGTCTCCCTGGTTCTGATCGGGGGCCCACCCCCGGTTCGAAACGCGCCGCCGAATGTTCCCAAGGCAAGCGCCTGTGAAACGCGCCCCCTCATAGAACATGTATCTATCTATTTATGTATGTATCCAGCTGCCTGTAGCACACCCCGCCATCGTGCCCGTGCAACAGAGCAGCAGGAAGGAGACTGAGTGTAGGAACGGCGCAATTCCGACGACATGTCTGAACCGGGGAGGGTGGTGATCTCGACCTCGTCAGCGGGGAGGTCTTTCTCAGGCCCCGCTGCAGTTCAGCGAGCTTTCTGAACTGAAGCGGGTCGTGAACTCGACTTCATCTCCGTCCGCGCAGGAGGAGGAGGAGGAGGAGGCAGAGGAGGAGGAGGAGAACCAGTTTAAACCCAATATTCATCAACGATGTCGGAATGTACCCATGCGAAAGGAGGATGATGATGATGATGATGATGATGATGATGAGGAGGAGGAGGAGGAGGAGGAGGAGGAGGACAAAGTGGGTGAGGCCAATGAGACGGGTGATGGGAACAACCATCATGAGCAAGAGGAACATGTCAAGGACGATGAAGGTGAGGAGGCAAAACGCATCCTAGCAGAAATGACACAGCGCGAGGAGGAAGCAGGCTGAAAGAAATCACGACCACAAGGGCGCTGACACTGCGAAACGTACACAGACGCCACGTCGGAGTTCCGGGGACGGGCTTCCAAGACCACCGAACGTCAAGGAATCAAGTCTTCGGATGTTCCTGGCACCTCTTTGACTTTACGAGAGCCTTTTGGAGCCTCCTGGGAGTCTTAAGGATGGACCTCTGGATGGTTCTGGCCACCTGCATCGACTTCTGGGTCCTAGACCTCTTACGTCGCGTGTTCTTCTCTGGGCACAACAAAGAACAACAACTACAAGTAGGACGATTTTTCTGGAGGGCCCCTCTAGGGAGAGCCCGCCGACCTCGACATGATCACTTTGGTTGTGGTCAATGTGGCCGACTTGGGACGCCACATCGACCACAACCAGTACGAAACCGTTTTCGGTGTTCCGTCAATTTTTGGCATGCGCAAAACATTCCCCAAGGTGTGCCCTCGATGTGGCCTGCTGGCCCCACATTTTCAGCCCTTGCGTTTTTCGGCTTCTGGGGGTCGTTCTCGAAAACGCCGGCGAAAAGATGCGACAGGAGGAGGGGACAGCACGACGCCCCCAAAGAGTAAGCTGCATCCCATTCGTTTTTATCCCCATGAGGGGCGTTACAGGGTGGACGTAGTAGCAATGGTATTGGTAGTGTTAGTGGTAGTGGTAGTGGTAGTTGTAGTGGTAGTGGTAGTGGTAGTCGTGGTAGTAGTGGTGGTGGTGGTGGTGGTGGAAGTGGTGGTGGTGTAAATGGTGATGGTGGTGGTGGTGGTGGGGATTGTAGTAGAGGTAGTAGTAATAGTCTTATTATTATTATTAGTAGTAGTAATAGTAGTAGTAGTAGTAGTAGTAGTAGTAGTAGTAGTAGTAGTAGTAGTAGTAGTAGTAGTAGTAGTAGTCAGTAGTAGTAGTCGTAGTAGTAGTAGTAGTAGTAGTAGTTAGTCGTAGTCGTAGTCGTAGTCGTAGTCGTAGTCGTAGTCGTAGTCGTAGTAGTAGTAGTAGTAGTAGTAGTAGTAGTAGTAGTAGTAGTAGTAGTACTAGTAGTAGTAGTAGTAGTAGTAGTAGTAGTAGTAGTAGTAGTAGTAGTAATGAGTAGTAGTAATGAGTAGTAGTAATGAGTAGTAGTAGTAGTAGTAGTAGTAGTAGTAGTAGTAGTAGTATAGTCTAGTAGAATTATAGTAAGTAGTAGTAGTAGTATAGTAGTATAGTTCGTCGTAGTAGTCGTAGGAGTCCGTAATAGAATAGTGGTCGAGTAGTAGTAGTAGTAGTAGTAGTAGTAGTAGTAAGTAGTCAGTAGTAGTAGTGGTAGTAGTAGTAGTATTAACCGACATGCAAGTAGTGTAAGAAGTCGCAGAGGTAGTAGTAGTAGTAGTAGTAGTAGTAGTAGTAGTAGTAGTAGTAGTAGTAGTAGTCGTAGTCGTAGTAGTAGTCGTCGGAGGTGGATGGACCTCCTACCCTGACGCGTCGATTGAGGAATCGGCCGTTATCGGTTCGCGAGAGGGCGTCGCGGCCGGCAATTTTGCGGGTCCAGGTCCGTCGGGTTCGGTCCCAGGCCGTTTTCATTAAAGGGAGCTTTACGAAAGGGAGGTTTGTCCACCGCCGAAGGCGTAGTAGTAATAGTAGTAGGATTAGGATTAGTAGTTAAAGTAGTAGTAGTAGTAGTAGTAGTAGTAGTAGTAGTAGTAGTAGTAGTAGTAGTAGTAGTAGTAGTAGTATTATTAGTAGTAGTAGTAGTAGTAGTGGTAGTAGTAGTAGTAGTAGTAGTAGTAGGAGGAGGAGGAGGAGGAGGAGGAGGAGGAGGAGGAGTAGGAGGAGTAGGGGTAGGAGTAGTAGTCGTAGTAGTAGTACTCGTAGTCGTGGAGTGAAGCAAGAGCCAGGCCACCTGCATCTGTCGCCGCGCCTTTAATTTCTACGCGCGGCCTCCCGTCTTTCAGTGGGCACCTCGGCCACCAGGGCAAACTCCGCCTCGGACGCTGAGTTTGCCGTGGGTTTGCCGCTGTGCCGAGTTTGTCTACTTGGGCACGCTCAGAACAAACGGCGCGGCGACATCTGCAGCTCTAACCATCGTAATGCGCAGAGCCACATGGGATCGCATACATGTGCTTGCTGTCTATGGGGCCAGTGCGCAAACGACATTTGCAGATGCATCTCATGTGTACACTTGCTGGCGGTGCCACAATGACATTGCCCCATACTTTTGCCAAGGCGAGTTCACACAATAGTCACCACGCCTCTTGGCAGAATCATGCAAGTGAGAGGCTGGAGGCCATTCATCCCAGCCGACTCTGACCACCGAAGTGCCGATGTAGCTGGATTCCGCCGCTCCACCATCGCAGCCGACCGCAGGAACGTCGCGGCAGCTGGTCCCATGACCGCCGCCGCGGCAGCACGTCTCCGCCGGGGCGCCGCGGAGCAGCGCGCGGCACGTTCCCGCAGGATGCGCCCGCGGACTGGCGCAGATCGTGTTCTCCTCCACCGTCATCGCCGCGCGGGGCGTCGCGGCGCGGTGCGGACCCGCCGCGGCGCACTCCGCTGCGGCGGGAGGTGGAGCGGTCACGGTGCAGCCGATCGCCGAGGAAGGCAGGGCCGCCGCGCTGCACCCCACCGCGGCGGGAGGTCGATCGATCCCCGCGCAGCCGATCGCCCTGGAGGGTGGAGCCACCGCGGCGGGAGGTCGATCGACTCCCGCGCAGCCGGTCGCCGTGGAGGGTGGAGGCACCGCGGCGCACGCCTCCGCGGCGGGAGGCGGGCCGAGCGTGGCGCAGCCGCTCGCGGCGAGCGGCAGAGCCACCGCGGCGCAGCCGATCGCGAGGGCAGGCGGAGCCACAGCGGAGGCGCAGCCCCTCGCCGGGCTGGCGGGGCCACGGGCGCCAGAGCCCGCGGACCTGCGGCCCGGCGCCGTGGCCTCAGAGGGCCGATGGCTCCAGGGATGAGCCCCGCGGAGCTGCGCGAGAGGTGCGGGTCGGACGAAAGGGGGGTGTAGTCGAGCAGTCGAGGCGCTGAGGGAGGGGCCGCTCTGGGCTCAGGAGGCGGGGTTCCGGTGCCAGGGCCGCTCCTGGAGTCCAGGCCGGGGGGGATCTGCTCGTTGCCGGGGCTCGCCGCGGCCAGGGAGGCCCTCCCGCTCCCTCCTCCAGCGCTCACTGTGGTGGCACGATGACCGCTGCCCCTTCGTCGGCCGAGAGGTGCTTCCCCCCCCGCCGCCGCCGCCGCTCCCCTCCCAAGGGGGCAGGCCCCGCCTGCGGCCCCAGCCGCCGCGGCCACCCGAGAGGCCGCCCGCGGCCGCGGTCGCGGCCGCGGAGGGCAGGCGCCCGCGGGCGACCTCGCCGCGGCGCGAGCGAGGCGGCGCGGCGGAGGCCGCGCCCTCGGCCGTCCGCCGGCTGGCGGCCCCGCCGCGGTGCGAGCGGGGCGGCGCGGCGGAGGCCCCGCACTCGTTCGTCCAGGCGGCGAGGGCGGCCCTCAGGCGGCTGGAGGGCCGCCGAGGCCCGGCCGCCTCCATGATCGGCCGGGTCCTGGCGGCCGGCCAGCGGGGTCACGCTGGTGATCGACGGAGGGCAACAATTCTAGACGCTTCGCGTCACCCCACCCGCCCATCCAGAAACGACGCCAAGAGGAATTGCTTCGATCAGGGAAATGGGCAGCACACAGAGGAAGGGTCCCCCAGTGGAGGCCTCTTGTAGCGTCTTGGAGGCCTCTTGGGGGTCCCTTGGGAGCCTCTTGGAGGCCCCTTGGGCGCCTGTTGGGGCCCCTGGGCGCCTCTTGGGGCCCTCTTGAACCGCTCTTGGGAGCCTTGGGAGCGCTCTTGGAGCTCTCTTGGGCCATCTTGGAGCCATCTGAGGCCTCGGCGAGAAACCCCAGAACATGGATTTCCCTAAGGTTTGGGAAGGATTTTGGCCTCTTCGGGGCCTCCTGGGGGAGCTCTTTGGCCACTTGGAGCCGTCTTGGAGCGGTCTTGGGGCCTCTTGGAGCATCGTGGGCGCCAGCTTGAGGCATCTTGGGATATCCTTGAGCCATCTTGGAGGTCATCTTGGGCTCTCCCAGGCGCTCTTGGAGTCATCTGAAGCAGTGCCCCCTCCCCCCCCAGGAGGCCACAACGTGGCCAAAACCTTAGTAAAATCAATGATTTTGGCATTGTCGCCGAGGCCTCTTGGAGCGTCTTGGGTGCCTCTGGGGGGCCTCTTGGGGCCTCTTGGGGGTCTCTTGGGAGCCTCTTGGGGGCATCCTGGGGGCCTCTTGGGAGCCTCTTGGGGCCTCCTGGCCACCTCTTGGGGCCCTCTTGGGGCACCCTTGGGAGCCTTGGGAGCACTCGTGGGGCCATCTTGGAGGAGATCGATCAAAGAAGGGGGTTCCTCAATTAGCGCTACCCCCCCAAGAGGCCAAAGTGGAGCCAAAACCGTAGTACAACTAATGATTTTGGCTTCCTCGCCGAGGCCGTTTTGGACGCTCCGACACCTCGCGGCCTCCCCCGTCCAAGTCCAGGGGAGGGGGCAGGGGGAGGGGTAAACCCATCCCCGAAGGGTAAGAAAGGGGGTTGGAACAGGAGCCGCCCTAAACCACCTACGCCCAGAGGGCTGGTGGGATTTCGCAAGCCCGCCATGATCAAGCAGTGGCGAGGCGTCCTGGCTTGCCTTCAGGCCCTCGAAAGAATGTTCAGAGAACCCTGTCTGGTTTGCATGACATGTGCTTAGAACATTTCTGGCCGATGCAGTCTTGTTCGATCAATCTGTTTTGTGCTATAAGAGCATGGTTTTGGTTACTAGTCGACCGCTCTGCGGTTGATCGGTAGCTTCTGTATATAGAAAAGGGGCGTGTGCTTGTGGGCGAGAGGAGAATGAGCGGGAGGCAGCGGTGCCGCGGGTGAGGATGAGGAGGGTAGGGATCAGGAGGGCGAGGCTTGCCCTCCTGATCCCCACCACCTTATCCAACTCTCTTCCTCCTCCTTTCCTCCTCCTCTCCTCCTCCTCCTCCTCCTCCTCCTCCTCCCCCTCCTCCTCCGCCTTCTCCTCCTCCTCCTCCTCCTTCTCCTCCTCCCCCTCCTCCTCCAACTCTCCTCCAACTCTTCTCCAACTCTCCGCCTCCTCCCTCTCCCCCTCCTCCTCCTCCTCCTCCTCCTTCTCCCCTCCTCTCCTCCTCCTCCTCCTCCTCCTCCTCCTCCTCCTCCTCCTCCTCATTCCTCCTCCCCCCTCCGTCCTCCTGCGTCCTCCCCCCTTCCGTCCTCCTGCGTCTTCCTCCCTGTTCATCCTCGTCGTCGTCCTCGGGGGCCTCCCTCGGGGGGCGACGTGGGGACCTCTGCGAGGGCGTGTCTCGAGCGCGGGGGCCCCAGCATGGCGCACGCCCCGGTCTCGACTTTCTCGAGGATGCCTCGAGCGAGCGCCCTGGGCTGGGTGGGACACGCCCGGTGCGCCCCGACGCCATGGCGCGCGCTGGCGGATCCCCGGAAATAGCCCCTGGGTTAGAGGAAAGAGGACTGTGCACACACACACACACACACCGATTCTGGCCAGGCCCATCCTGAGCCCAGGATCGGTGCACACGCCCTCCTGCAGTGGCCAGGAGAGCACATGCACCGATCCTGGGTCAAGGATGGGCCTCACCAGGATGGGTGCGCGTGCAGAGTCCTCTTCGCCCTATATTATGGGTGCGCGGTGGGGCCTGACTCTGCCGTGCGCCAGGGGTCGACTCTGAGAGGACGCCTCGAGCGAGAGCCGCGGACGGGGACGCGCCTGGCGCGCCCTGGCGCGCCCTGGCGCGCGTCTGAGGGCCTCTGCGAGGAGGCTCGGGGGGCCCCAGTTTTCTGAGGACGTCCCACGCGCGGGCGCTGGTTTGGAGTTCGGCGCCGGATTTCCCGGACGCTGGCCTCCCCGGGGAGGCTCTCAGGGAGCCGCTTTTGTGGAGGATGTCCCACGCGAGGGCGCCTGTTTGGAATCCGCCGCCGGAGTGCTGGGATGTCCCGGCCTTCCCGGAATCGGAACAGGCTGGCGGTCGGCGGGCCCACTCCTCCGCTCGCCAGGGGTTAGGACGACGCGAGTTCTCAACGCAAGCTCCTTCACATGAGAACATTCTACTTGGTTTTAAGTCGGGCCTGTCCCTCTACAGGAGGGATATTCAAAAACAGTCAAAAAATAGTCTGGGGACTTTTTTTTTTTTTTTTTTTTTTTTTTTTTTGACAATTTTGGAGCATTGTTTGACTATTTTTATATATTTCGTCAAAAATCCCCCTGTAGGGGGACAGGCCCGACTTACACTTGGTTCTAAAATAGTCTCGTCGTAGGCCGCGAGGCATGCCGGGACCGCCGGCCTCTGCTCAACAGGCGACGGAGCGGGCCCCTGCAGGCTCTTGCCCTCCCCGGGCTTCCCGAGGGGCCCCCTCACCGGGGCCCCCCGGGCGGGCGGAAGGGCTGCCCTGACTCCGGATCCGCCCTTCTTTGGGGAAATTCGTAAGTAGGGCTTGCGATTTTCGGGGGTGGACAGAACCCCCAACAGTGACACGTCGATTAGTGAATTGTCCGTTTTCGGTTCTCGAGAGGGCGCCGTGGCCGTTATTTTCCAGGCTTGCGCCCGCCAGGTTTGGGCCTCAGGTCGTTTTCACTAAACCACGTTTTACTAAAGGGGGGTCTGTCCATCCCCGATTACTTTTCGGGCCCCGCTGATGCCAAAATGTCCGCCCTATACCCCTACTTCTGTGGATTTTTCCGCCCCGCTGGCAGGCGGGGTGCAGAGATGTCCCCGCCCCCCTTTGTTCGGCCTCTTATATGGGTGGATGTCCGACGCAGCGTGGAGTTGGGAAAAAAACCACATTGTTCAGAGGGCAACAACATATGTACATGTACGCGGTTTGTTTCCGCCGAATTGCGTTTGAACGCGGAGGTTCGTGCACGCAATACCGCGGAGGGCGTACATGTACACATGCTGTTGCTCGCTCAATTGTGGGGCGGATCTGGAGTCGGGGTGGTCCTCACAGGAGGCCCCGAGATCCGGGGCCCCGCTCCCCTCGGCCCCCCGCCTCCTCCGTGCTGCCATATCCGCGCCGCGGGCCTCCGAGGTCTCGGGTGCGGCCCGGCCCCCCAGGCAGGGGGGCCCGGTGAGCAGTGGGCCCTCGGGCGGTTTCCTCGCGGTTTCGTCGGTTCTCGGTCGGCGATTCTTCCCCCTCGGGGTGCGTTCCAGCGGCTGCGCCTCGCCGAGAGCGTTCTGGGGGTGCCCGGATCGTCTCGAACGGCCGCCAGAGACCCGAGATATGACCCCCAAACCAACTTCGGTGGCTCCGGGTAGGCGTCGGGGGCGGGAACGAGGGGGGTGATGACGAGGGGGGGGGATATCATGGCGGGGGCCATGCTATTTCCCCAGATTTTTCATGGCGCCTCTTCTTATTTCATTACGTCCCTGGCCCCCCCGCTGAGCCGCGCACGCGCAGCGCCGGTCACGATTTGCACCCCCCCCTTTCTTGGACACCCCCCTCCTGGCCGCTCCTGGAGGCGCTGCGCCCCCCCCCTCCCCGGGGCGCGCGGGGGGCGCGCCAGGGGCGCCGATCGGAGGCGCCGCAAGCGCAAGGGGGGCCCGCCGACACGGGAAATCCGCGCGGGCCGCCGACGGTTGCTGCGCGTGCGGTTTTTGCCCCCCTCCCCCATCCCTCCCCCTCCCCCCCCCTCCCACCTCCCCCCCCCCTCCCTGGGATCCTGGCGTTGCGCTTTTTTGGCTACGGGCGTCTGCGCTCCAGGTCGGGCCCACGGACCCTCGCGGAGCGATCTGGCTCGGAAACTGACGCGGAAAGACGGGGTCCGGGGCTCTGGGCGTGATTTTTTTTTGGAGGATGTTGCATTTGTTTGTTTTTACAGCGTCGGATCTCCTTGCCCCCCAGGCTTCAGTTGGGCCTGTCCCTCTGCAGGAATATTCCCAAACAGTCAAACAATTGTCTGGGGACGGTTTTCTAGTTCTGGTATTGTCGAATAGTTTTTGAATGTTTTTTGAGCATTCTTTGATTTTTCGTCCAACATCCACCTGCAGGAGGACACGCCCGACCTAACCCCAGGCGAGGCAGCCGCGGAGAGCCACGCCGAGCTGGAGCGCCGCCGCAGAGGCTCCAGCCCGCGCAGCGGCAGCTGCAGCCGCAGCCTGGACTGGGGCCGCAGCCCGAGCCGAGGCGGGGGTCGCCGCCACGGCAGCCCTCGGAGCGAGTCGTCGGGGGCCCCTGCCGCAGCGCCGAGCTCGGCTCCTCTTTTCCCGCTTCCCTCCCTCCTCCTCCTCCTCCTCTTCCTCCTCCTCCTCCTCCTCCTCCTCCTCCTCCTCCTCCTCCCCCTTCCTCCTTCTTCTCCTTCCTCCTTCTTCTCCTTCTCCTCTTCCTCCATTCCTGTTCCTTATAACTAATGTCTCCCTGTCGCACCCCGAGGCAAGCATTTAGGGCGGTCCGGGCGTTTCGCCTGAGACTTCATCTCCATTCATTACCCTGAAGATAAACAAATGTCAACAGTTTCGCAAATGGAGGGCGGGCCGTTTTCAAAATGTGGCTCTTGCCGTAGCGCCGCGCACATTTGGTGTAAACATGTGCCAGAGTTTCACGGATTGAGGGAGGGTCGTTTTCAAAACGTGGCTCTTGCCGTAGCGCCGCGCACATTCGTTTTAACAAATGGCAAGAGTTCCACGGATTGAGGGCGGTTCCTTTTCAACATGTGGATCTCGCTTTAGCGCCGCGCACACTCGTTTTCAACATTTGCAAGAGTTTCAGGGATTCCCATGATCAGCGTACTAACATCCGCCGCTCTGCGGTTGATCGGGAGTTTCTGTATATATAGAAGAAGGGGCGCGCGCTTCTGGGCGAGAGGGAAACGACCGAGAGAAGAAGGGGCGGCCGCCCCACAGGACCTCTCCATGGTGCCGGAAGCCCATCAGGGCTCCCTCAGGGCCCCTCCCCCAGGGCCGGGGCTCCCTCGCCTGCCCCCTCCCCCTCCTCCTCCTCCTCCTCCTCCTCCTCCTCCTCCTCCTCCTCCTCCTCCTCCTCCTCCTCCTCCTCCTCCTCCTCCTCCTCCTCCTCCTCCTCCTTCGCCCCCGTCGGCATATCCAGGCGTGTTATGCAGTCAGGTCGTCCGTCCGGAAACGGTGCCGGAGGCCGCTCTGGGCTCCTCTGGGCATCCCCCCCGGGGCCCGTTTTGTGAGGATGTCTCAGGCGAGGGCGCCGGTTTGGGATTCGTCACCGGATCCAGCGGATCCAGCGGATCCGTCCGGAAACGGTGCCGGAGGCCGCTCTGGGCTCCTCTGGGCATCCCCCCCGGGGCCCGTTTTGTGAGGATGTCTCAGGCGAGGGCGCCGGTTTGGGATTCGTCACCGGATCCAGCGGATCCAGCGGATCCGTCCGGGAAACGGTGCCGGAGGCCGCTCTGGGCTCCTCTGGGCATCCCCCCCGGGGCCCGTTTTGTGAGGATGTCTCAGGCGAGGGCGCCGGTTTGGGATTCGTCACCGGATCCAGCGGATCCAGCGGATCCGTCCGGAAACGGTGCCGGAGGCCGCTCTGGCTCCTCTGGGCATCCCCCCCGGGGCCCGTTTTGTTGAGGATGGTCTCATGCAGGGCGCCGGTTTGGGAATTCGTCACCTGGATCCAGCGGATCCTAGCGGACCATCGGATCCCGTCCGGAAACGGTGCCGGAGGCCGCTCTGGGCTCCTCTGGGCATCCCCCCCGGGGCCCGTTTTGTGAGGATGTCTCAGGCGAGGGCGCCGGTTTGGGAATCGTCACCGGATCCAGCGGATCCAGCGGATCCGTCCGGAAACGGTGCCGGAGGCCGCTCTGGGCTCCTCTGGGCATCCCCCCCGTGGCCCGTTTTGTGAGGATGTCTCAGGCGAGGGCGCCGGTTTGGGATTCGTCCCCCCCCCCCCCCCCCCCCCACCGGATCCAGCGGATCCAGCGGATCCAGGCTGATCGTCCGAAAACGGTAGCCCGGAGGGCCGCTCTGGGCTCCTCTGGGCATCCCCCCCCGGTCCCGTATAGTGAGGATGTCTCAGGCGAGGGCGCCGTTTGGGTTCGTCACCGGAACCTGCGGATCCAGCGGATCAAGCGGATCCGTCCGGAAACGGTGCCGGAGGCCTGCTTCTGGGCTCCTCTGGGCATCCCCCCGGGGCCCGTTTTGCAAGGATGTCTCAGGCGAGGGCGCCGGTTTGGGATTCGTCACCGGATCCAGCGGATCCAGCGGATCCGTCCGGAAACAGTGCCGGAGGCCGCTCTGGGCTCCTTTGGGCATCCCCCCCGGGGCCCGTTTTGTGAGGATGTCTCAGGCGAGGGCGCCGGTTTGGGATTCGTCACCGGATCCAGCGGATCCAGCGGATCCGTCAGGAAACGGTGCCGGAGGCCGCTCTGGGCTCCTCTGGGCATCCCCCCCGGGGCCCGTTTTGTGAGGATGTCTCAGGCGAGGGCGCCGGTTTGGGATTCGTCACCGGAACCAGCGGATCCAGCGGAACCGTCCGGAAACGGTGCCGGAGGCCGCTCTGGGCTCCTCTGGGCATCCCCCCCGGGGCCCGTTTTGTGAGGATGTCTCAGGCGAGGGCGCCGGTTTGGGATTCGACACCGGATCCAGCGGATCCAGCGGATCCGTCCGGAAACGGTGCCGGAGGCCGCTCTGGGCTCCTCTGGGCATCCCCCCCGGGGCCCGTTTTGTGAGGATGTCTCAGGCGAGGGCGCCGGTTTGGGATTCGTCACCGGATCCAGCGGATCCAGCGGATCCAGCGGATCCAGCGGATCCGTCCGGAAACGGTGCTGGAGGCCGCTCTGGGCTCGTGCTGTTCGCGCCGGGGGTGAGGATGACGTGAGTTCCACAGAAACTCCCTCAAACCAGAAATTGCGTGTTGGAAGGGTTCAGGATTATGAGGGCACAACAGCTACGGTGATTCGCGGTGTTGAAGTCCCAGGAATGGTGTTCTGGCACGGTTCAAGATCGTCAAGACGCAACATTCAAGTTGATCCGTAGCGCTGAAATCCCGAGAACAATGTTTTGGCATCGTTCAGGATCTTCAAACAATTGTCTTCCAACGAGGCAATTCCCTCAGTGGAAATGAACCGTTGTAGGGGCCTATGAAGAGGGAGCTTGGAGGGAGGGTTTATTCCAACATTGTCAATGACTCTTGGGTTTCCAACTGGTCCTCCTCCCCTCTTCCTCCCTCCTCCTCGTCCCGTCTCGTCCTCCTCCTCCTCCTCCTCCTCCTCCTCCTCCTCGGCTCCTCCTCCTCCTCCTCCTCCTCCTCCTCCCCCTCCTCCTCCTCCCCCCCCTCCTCCGGCCACATGACCTCCCCTGAGGGTGTGCGCACGTCCTTCCCACCCCCTCCCTTCCTCCTACCGCCTCCCTCCTCCTCACTCCTCCTCCCCCGCCTCATCCTCACACCTCCTTCTCCTCCTCCTCCTCCTCCTCCTCCTCCTCCTCCTCCCCGCCTCCTCCCCCTCCTCCCCCTTCTCCTCCCCCCCTCCCCGACCACTGACCTCCCGAGTGTGCGCACATCTTTTCCCCCCCTCCTCCTCCCTTCCTCCTCCTCCTCCTCTCCTCCTCCTCCTCCTCCTCCTCCTCCTCCTGCCACCTCCTCCTCCTCCTCCTCCTCCTCCTCCTCCTCCTCCTCCTCCTCCTCCTCCTCCACCTCCTCCTCCTCCTCCTCCCCTCCTCCTCCTCCCCTCCTCCTCCTCCTCCTCCTCCTCCTCCTCCCCTCCACCTCCCCCTCCGACTCCTCCTCCTCCTCCTCTCCTCCACCTCCTCCTCCTCCTCCCTCCTCCTCCCTCTCCGCCTCCGCCTCCTCCTCACTCCTCCCTCTTCTCCCTCCCCTCCCCCTTCCCTCCCTCCCTCCGTCCTCCCTCCCTCCCTCCATCCCTCTTCTCTTCCTCCTCCTCCTCCTCCTTTCCCCGTCCCCTCCCGCGAGGCGGGGGATTATCTCCATAGCCACCGCCTGGGGGATCGATCTTCGGGGACCTCGGCAGGCGGTGGACACATCCATGGCCACCGCCGGCTGCGGTCCCAGGACGTCGGTTCCCAGGCGGCGCACATGCGCTATCCCCGCCTCGCACCTCCTTCTTCCTGCTGGCTAGCCCTGCCAGCAATCAGGCGATCGCAGACATGGATCAAGAGGGGGCGTGGATTAGTGACGGGTCCCGTTTCCTTGGGAACTCGCGGACTCCCGACGTTGCACCGGCCGCATTTTGGGGAGGGCGCCTCCCGCGATCCATGGATTTGGCGACCGCGCGCCAAATCCATGGACCACAGATCCATGTTTGCGCGCCCCCGACAACATGCGCTATCCCCGCCTCGCACCTCCTTCGTGCTGGCTGGCCCTGCCAGCAAGGGGAGCTTTCTGGGCATCCTGGATGCCGTCTGCTCTGAGCCCCTGGCCGGCCAAGAGCCCCGGCCCCCAGAAGGTTGCCGGAGGCCCAAAGTTCCGCCACGCGCAGAGGGGGGCAATTACAGGGAGGGGGGAAGGCTCCTCAGAAGCACCCCTGCATCTTAGGAGGTGCAGGCCTCATCAGTAGCTTTAGGGCCGGCGCCTTCTAAGAAGCAGCCTCCCTCGGGTTCGAGGCTCGAGGGGGGATGGACTCAGGTGGCAACGTCTCGGGCTCGAGGCTCGCGGGCTTCGGGCGTTCCCGTATGTCCTCGGCGGCTGTTTCCCTTCCTCTGTTAACTGAAGCTGTGCGCGGCCCGCTCAGCTTCGACCGGAAGAGGCTCGCTCTCGACCCGCGGATCAAGAAGAGTGTCCTCGGCGGCTCGCCGGCCTCGGGGGGCTCTCCAGCGGCCGCGCCGCGCCGCGGGCGCTTGCTGGAGGGGTGCCCGGCTCGTGCCAGGCGGCCGCCAGAGGCCAGGGCCTGGGCCGTGGATCCTCGGGGGCCTTGCGGAGGAGGAGGAGGAGGAGGAGGAGGAGGAGGAGGAGGAGGAGGAGGAGGAGGAGGAGGAGGAGGGTGAGTGAAGGAGGAGGAGGACGACGGGCGTCCACGCCAGCGGGGGTCGGCCGCAGCGCCCGGCCTTGCAGGATGCCTGCAGGGCCGGGGCCGCACTGGCCCGGGCTCGGGCGCAGGACCCTGCAGGAGCTTGCAGGATCGTAGGCCTAGAGGTTGACACCAACAC